GAGGCCGCAAGCCGCGCGCACGCACACACGCTCGCGATCTCAGTGTAGAGTGGGTGCTAACGATCAAGACAGAGATCTCGCCAAACATGACGAGGTGGCGCGCTCCGCCTGTCCGCCCCGCCCTGTCCGCCCCGCCCTGTCCGCTCCGCCCTGTCCGCCCCGCCCTGTCCGCTCCACCCTGTCCGCTCCGCCCTGTCCGCTCCACCCTGTCCGCTCCACCCTGTCCGCTCCGCCCTGTCCGCCCCGCCCGGTCCTCTCCGCCGGCCCATCGGCCTGGCACAGGTTCGCCAGCCACACTAATGAAGATTTGTGCAGCGCGAGAGCGCGCCATGACAAAGGCCGTCATCTCGTTCCCTTCCCGGAGCGCGCAGCGAGGAGAGGGGTGACCACGGCGGGTCAGGCTGCAGCTGGAGAGCGACTCGGCGGCGCTCCACTGATCCAATCACCCGCGGCTGAATCTCTGTCAGCAAAAGACATGGCCGCAGCTGCAGCCCTTGGACAGTTTAAAACGTTCAAAAAACATAATCAAAACAAATTAACCAGGTTTGGGAATTTCGCTCTGGGAAACTTGTCCTGTATGGCCACGTCTTGATTGGCAGAGAGTAAGCCGCGGGTGTTTGGGACCAATGGAGCGCCGCCGTGTCGCTCTCCAGCAGCTGCAGCCTGACCGCGTGGCGGTGCAAATGCATCGGACAAAACGGAGGTCGTGTACAAAACAAAAGGTCGGAAAACTATGCGCAATGGAGGAGGGGAGGGGCGTGGGGCGCAGGGCGCGGGGCGCCTTGGTGCGCAGCGATCCTTCTTCGCGCCGTTAACTGCAAAACCATCGACTAGGCTGGGGCCGCCGGGGCTGCCGGGGCTGCCGGGGCGCGGCGCGGAGTGCCTCCAGCTTCCAGATGCTTCGCTTTAATTGCCGCTATTGACCTCGCAACTTTGTCCACGCGGCCCGCGCCTCCGGCCCGCCACGCCCGCGGCACGCCGCTCGCTGTCACTCGAACCGTTGAGTGGCCAAGTTTAAGGCTTTAGGGCACCGGGCGCGCAACGCGGAGAAACGGCGCGCGACTCGGCGTCGTGTTCGCCCCCCGCCCCCTTTGCCCGGCAGGAAGGCGCCGAGAGTAACCTGCCGAGCGCCGCCAGCGAGGCCGAGACACAGACGGCGCGGGGCTTTCAGAACGTCCAAAAGGCGTCCGACGGCTGTCCACAAAGTAACACAAAGTAACACAAAGCAGCCTCAACTCGATCCATCGCCACATTTCCGGTCGCCCGGACGCCCTTCAGCCGCGTGCATACATACACGGCGGCCACAAAGGCGGCCCAAATCAGTGCATCAACGCGCCGCGCCGCGCCGCCCCGCCCCGCGAGCACGCATCTCGCGGGTGGAAATTGAATCCAAGCGAAAAGGACGGCGGTGGTGGTGGCGGGCTGGCGGCGCGCACGCAGACCCGCTGACGGCGCCACCGATGCCGGTAACAGATAGTCGTCACTCTCGCCTCACAATGCCGCGGCACCGCGCACCAACCACTGAATGCACGTCGCTTTTCCGCGAGGACACTGCAAAAATCATCCCCCGTCCGAAAAACGAACAAACGCAAAAGGCCCGAACCGACACACGGAACTCGCTGTCCCCTGGCCACACCTGGCCCGACTTTGCCACGAGCGGCTCAACGCCCTTGGTCCGCGAATTTTCCGGTTGGCGACGGACACACTGCATCCCCCCCCCCCCACACACACACACACACTCACACGGCAGAGTGACGTTCATTACCGTGCGACTCACTTCAGCGCGACACTGACACTCATCACGGCGGTGTGGTGCCCGGGGAGCGGAGCGGCAGAGCGGCGGGTTGAGTGTGAATAATCAAATAGACGCGCCCTCCCCCCCCCCTCCCCCCCCCTCCCCCCCACAGAGCCATTTCGGCAGGTCAGCGTGTGTGGCAAACAGTGCGGGCGCTGCAGCAGCGACGCCCGCCAGGCCGGCGAGGCCCGACGCCATGCAACCCTCAGCGCTCCCCGCAGCAGCCTCCTGCGCCCCGCGCCTCCAAGGAGTGGCGCTGTTCCCACAAGACGCGCCGCGCCCCGCCCCGCCCCGCCCCGCCCCGCCCCGCCCCGCCCTGGCGTCTAATTGCTGCGTTAGCACCCAGCAGGCCAAGCTTACAGCGCGCACACTCGGTCTGCTCCGCTGCCGCTGATGGCCTCGCAGGCACTGCCAGGCCTGAGCTTGCGCGTGCGTGCGTGTACGTGTCTGAGTGTGTGTGTGCGCCGCGACGTGAATTATTGGTCCTTTCTTTCGGCGCGCGGGACGGAAGTTGCCACTCGCGGAACAAACGAGCGCGGCGGGCCGCGGCGGGCTGTGAAAGGCATTACTTGAGGCGCGGTGAGCGACTGGCGTCCATCCGGGCGGAGCGCGGAGCAGGACTACTCATTCCGACGCAGTTGGCACGAAAGCAGAGCCGCGGCACACGAAACGCGATATACGCATGCACCATGTGTAGCTCAGTCCGCGACGTCGCGCACCGCGCCGCACCGCGCTCCAGTGGGCCAGAAGTGCAGGCGGGGCGAACGTGATTCCGGACGCGCCGTCCGACACAAAGGGCGTCTGCAGGCTTTGCTCGCTCGAAGGGCGAAATTCGTCCGTTTCACGCAGGTGCGCGAGGGATTCGAGTCCCAATTAAAATCCCGCCGCCGCCAGATCGTTTCTCCTTTCCTTGCGAATGGCGGGGAGAGATTTTACCGCTGGGTGCGCCTCCCCGTTTCCACACACATTTCGAGCGGTGCTCGCCCGCTCGCTATACCACCGCCGCCATTTGAGGAATATCGGGGTCGAAACGAAACATGTCCAGATTTGTGTCCATGTCCATCCCTTCCGGCCCACCCACCCCCTTTGTGCGGGAAAATGTGGGACACACGCTCGCACTCACACACGCGCATACGCACACACGCACGCACACACGCACGCACACACGCACGCACACCAACGCACCTTTTCGCTCCATCCAGCGCCAGCCGCTGGGCCATGCTAATGATTGGGCGGAATAAAGCGGTAATCGGCGGCCGTTACGCGATAATTACCGATAATGCTTCTGGAAAAGTCATGAATGTCACTTTTACGAGTTTTCCGGGCGACTGCCAGGGCGGCTGCCGGGGCGACTACTGGGGCCCAAGTCGGCCGCAAGCCAGCCCGACAGTGTGTACCGAGCACGGCGCGACCAGGCGGCCACGGCGGCCACGGCGGCCAACCTGGGAGAACAGACGCTCCGGCCTTATTCTCGCGCTTCATTTGCATTGCCGCGGCACGGCGCCCCCTTTGTACGCGGGGCTGGCCGGACTGACCGAGCTGGCGGCCCTGGCGGCCCGGCCGGGCGCACTCGCCATTCGCGCACGTGAATGTGTCACCCCGCGCGGCAAAAAACAAATGCAAATCTCAAGGTCGTTAAGGCATTTGAATTTATAATTTTGATGCCGCGCGTCCCCTGCTGCTTTTGCCACTGCCGCCACCGCGGTGCCGCGCGGCCGGCCGGGTCGGGGATGGGGGTGGGTCACCGGCCGGCCGGACCTAGCGTCCCGGTCGGTCCTGGAGAACTGGAGAGTGTTCCAGGGCTCCCGCGGCCGCGGTGTGCTGCCGAGTGTAGCGGACAGTGGACGCCACGCATAGTGGCGGTGCTGGCAGTGCAGCCGGAACAGCCGGGCGTAAAAACGCGTCCCGGCAGCCTGGCGTCCTGGCAGCCTGCATTCCATAATGATTTAGCGCCGCTGGATTACAACAGCGCCACTAGGTCAGCGCCCCACCCCCACCCCCTCCCCAAGCCCAAGGCCCTCCCCGAGGCCCTTCCAGGTGCGATGGCCGGGCGCGGGGGCAGAGGGGGTGGGGGCGGAGGGGGCGGGGCCATGTTTGCACATAAAGAAATCATTTACATGTTGCGCGCCACCCCGGAGTCATAGGAGTGAAAGGACCGTGATAAAATCAGAATGGCCGTTTCGTCCCTCGAGTGTATGAGCCTGGCGGGGCGGGGCGGGGCGGGGCGGGGCGGGGCGGCGGCCGCAGGTGAGGCCGGACGCAGTATGATGGAGGTGCGGGAAAGAGGCGGGACGGCGCGAGGGTTGGCAGCGAGGCGGGGCGCCTAGCCCGGTTGGCGCTTAGGCCGTTAGGCCCCCGGCAGGCAGCGCACCGACGCCCAGCTGCTGCCGCCTGATGCCGCCCTGGTGCGGCTGGCTGGCTAGATGGCTGGCTGGCCGGCGGGGCCTCGCCTCGCGTGCTGCAGCACCTCAAACGCAAGGCACGCCGCGCCACGCCAACGGCACGGCGACGACGCCGCGGCCGCAGTCGGTGGGGGTAAGCTCAAGAGGGCCAATAGGTCATTATCTGCAGCCTGGAATTATCGAAAATTGTACACATTTTCCGATGGTATCGCGGCCTGTCGCAGAGCGCGCCGAGCGCGCCGAGCGAGGGCTCCTGGGGCTTATTAGCGCAAACGGGCGGACTGGCCGGCGGGGGCCGCGGGGCCGCGGTCGATACGCGGTGCGTTAAGGAGGGTGTCAGTTGTCACTCATTGCCGGGCTGGCTGCCTCGGGGCGCGCCGGGCTCGGCACGCAGGACTAGCGCAAGGACGTGATGGAGCACACAGGTGCGCCCCCAGCAGGCCGCCGCCAGTGCCAGTGCTGCCGGGAAGGAGGCGAAAGGAAGCCCCAACTCGCCGGCCTGCCGCGGTCTCCTAGGCAACCTCACCGTCGAGAAGTCGTTGCCAACACCACACCGGTGTGCGGGGATACTTTTTGCCTACTTTCCTGGCAACACAGGCCGACCCACCGCCGCGCCCGCCGTGTAGCGATAGAGGCCGCCCCGGGCGTCCAGGGCCGCCAGGAGTGTATACGCGAATATCGATTAAGGAAGCAGACCGCCGGCGAAACTTGTCCAACAGGGAAGGGGCGGGGGCGCCGCCCGTGGCGCTGCCCCGCTGCGCCTCGCCGACGTGCGAGGTCATCAGCACTTGCTGAGGGCTTACCTTGAGCGTTGCAAGTCGGGGCGGTCAGCAGCAGCAGCGGTGGCAAAAGCAGCGGCAGCAGGGCCTGCAGGGCCACGGCGCGGCGCGAGGTGCGCGAGGTGCGCGAGGTCGACGGGAGGCGCGGACGCGCGCTGGCCGTGGCGGCCATGGCGGCCGGGGGCTGCAGCGAGCGAGCCCGCGCCATGGCTATTCCATCACCCGCGCCCCGTGCGCAGTCACCGCAGTCACCGCAGTCACCGCAGTCACCGCAGTCACAGCCCGGCCGGTCCTGCAACAGAACAAGAAGAGAGTCAGGCAACTAGTGCGACGTGCATCCCGTCGCCGCCGCGCCGCCACACCTGCTGGGCTGCAGCGTGCCAGCACCCCCGCGCCGCCCCGCGCCGCCCCGCGCCGCCCCGCTGGGACGTGCCTGGCGGCAAACTCTCGTCGCCGCCAACGGCGCCAACCCGCCGACTCGAATCGCACAGTTTCAAAGCAAGCAACTCGGCGTCCCCCCGAGTACCACTCACGCGAGGTATAGTTGAGCGCCGCACGGCCACCGCAAGGGGGAGAGTGAGAGAAAGGGGTGAGGGGTGTGTTGGAAGAAAGGGGTGGGGGGGGGCAGGAGACTGGCGTCGTTGTGTTCAGGTTGTACAGTACACCGGGACCGCGACGCAACCGCAGCGCTTGTTGTGCTGGAAGGGTCAGGCCGCACCGTCCCCGCACCGCGCCGAGCCAACTGGCGCCCGTAACTCTCCCTGGCGCCCCGATGGAGGGCACGAGGCCCGCCAGTCCATCAAAACGCCGTATGCTGCGTACGACTGGCGCGACACAGGCGCGGCGCAGGGGTGGCGGCCGTGGCCAAGGTGGGCCTGCTGCCGCTGCCGCGTCGCCCTCCGGGATGGCTGAGTAAAACTGCGATTACGGCCGAATTAGCCTCGCATGGCCGGCCGCTGCCGGACGCACCACGCCCGGCCTGCGCCACTGGTCGATAACGAATCAAACTCTCTGTTCCTTTATTTTTTTACTCCCCCGGGCTCCATTTTTGCCGGTCCGACTGCGCAGTGGGCAGGGCAGGCAGGGCGGGCAGTGCTACCAGGCAGGCAGTAGTGGCGGATTGACAGGGCCAAGGTTCCGCAAGGTTCGCTTCGCGGCAGACCCAGGCCGACCTGCCTGCCTCGGCCCTCGGCGCCCTCGGCACCCTCGGCTGCGTGCGCGCCCAACCCTTTGTCGGTCTCTCCCTCTCCGTCGCTCCCCCGGGACGCCGGCGAGGGCGAGAGGGACAGGTAACCTCGCGGCGCTGCCCATTGATTGGGCCCCTCCCCAGCCCCCGGGATCCCTGACGTCTGGGAAGGTCTGTGTGGCCGGCGAATTGGAACTGGGACGGTTGTTACCCTCATGCCTTATCGATAGACCTTGAACGGCGAACGGCGTCGGCCGTATAACTCAGGCCCTGCCGGCCGCGCCGAATGTCAGTGCATTTCGGCGGACTGACCCGCGAGCAGGCGCAGCCAGGCAAGGCCTGCCTCTTTTACTTTTATTCGCCCAGCCGTACAAGTGGAGGGCGGAGAACGAGGTCCGGTCCAGCGAGCCGGGCGACTCGACGCTGCAGCCGCTAGCCTCCTTGCAAGCCACCCCGCTGCAAGTTTGGACGCGGTGCGCGCGGCGCCTCCCCCTCCAGGTCGAGCCCGGCCCGGCGCCGCCCGGCGCTCGGCGAGCGTGTGCCGGCAACTTGTTCGCTTGTCAATATTTGGCCGTGCCATTAGCCGTCACTCCGGAACCTTTAAGCCCCGAGCCCACGCGGTGGCCGCGGACCGGAGGGAACGCCGAGTCGGGGCGGGGCGGGGCGGGGCGGGGCGGGGCGGGGGGCGGGGCATCAAAGTAAAATTAACTCAAAAGGGCGCGCGACCTACCCGCCCTGCCCCACCCCGCCCAGGCGCAGAAGGCCCTCGCGGACGCCGGTGTGCGAAAGGGACCCGGATGGACCCGCCGGCCGCACACTCCGCGCTTGGCACTCCGCACTGCCTCGCTGCTGATGAGCAGGGCAGCAGGGCCGGCAGGGCGTCCTCGTCGTGTGCGCGCTGTGCGAGAAGGGGAAGGCGCTCCGGGCCGCCCGGGGCCACAGGGTCACGGCGCGGCACGGCGCGGCAGAGCAAACACAGCGCAGCTCCGCGCCCCGGACGCCAGACCAAGCAGCGTCGTGCCAGGCGCGTCAAAGATAGGCGAAAACACTGTGAAAACAGCCCCAGGGTTCGCCCCGCCTCGCCCCGCCCCGCCTCCCCTGAAGCCCGCGTGCGAGAGGCTGTCGCGACACGGCCTCCTCGGCCTTGTGCCGGAGCAGCTGCTCGCACTTCCCGCGCGCTGTTCATACCTCACCAACAGTGCAGGCACCATTTCGAGGGGCAGTCCACTGGTTCTCACCACACTCCCTACACGCTTGACGCGGCAAGGTGCCTGCACTGCAAATCCAAAGGCAGTACTTTTGGTACCTTTTTTGGCGATACAATTGAGTATCGCCAATAAACGGCCTTACGGAAGAGTATTGCCTTCAAAACGGCGATACACAAAAGTATCGCCAAAATTTGGCGATACTTCGGAGTATTGCCACGATTTGGCATTAAACATTGAACAAATCAAGGGGATAAGGCCTTAGTTTAATGCCGCGGTTTTGGCGATACCCAAAAGTATCGCCAAATTTTGGCGATACTTCTGTGTATCGCCGTTCTGAGGGCAATACTTTTCCGTAATGCCGTTTGTTGGCGATACTCAATTGTATCACCAAAAAATGTACTTAAGTATCGCCTTTGCATTTGCAGTGTGTCCGTCGCACCTTTAAGTTTCCTCAGTGCGCTTCAGGAAGGGCGTGAGATCTTCGAACGTTGGGTCGCGCTTGGAAGAAACGTGGCATTACGCCATGGCAGAGACTTCTACGAATGGACTTGGAGACTTCGAGCCGCTCCGAGCAGCGGTCTGGCTCACTTTGTGGCAGCCACGGACGGGCTTTTACCCGTTTGCTTCGACAGAAACGCATCAGGTGTTGATGCGAGGCCATCACGCTTGGCTTGATGCGATTGGGACAGTCAATGTCACGATCGGGACCCGGTTTTTCGAGTGAGGTGCCACTGAGGTGCTGCGCGGCGCCGCCGCCGTTGGAGCCCCCAACAACAGCGGGTCGAAGTTGCAGGTCAAATTCAAGTGGGTGGCGGAGCGGGCAGAAGTTGGTGCCGCATGGTAGTGTGCAACACATGGGGGCAACGACCGGCGACGGCAAGGCATGGCAAGGCATGGCAAGGCCGCCACCACGCGACGGCACGCCACGCCAAGCCACGCCAAGCCAACGGCACTGCATCACGTGCTGCAATCATTTCCGTATCTGTGAGCACCGACAGCTGTCGTTTCGTCACTGCAAAGTTGAGACCCTTTTCTCCCTGCCTTTCTGGTTCCCGCGCCTTTCCCCGAATAAAAAATAACAACAACAACAGAAGAGTGTGGTCCTCCCACTTCCTCCCCCGGCAGTGGCTTGGACGACAAAGACTGCAGTCAGGCGCGGTCCGAGCCCGCACGCTACACTTGGCCACCCCCCTCCTCGGCTAAGCCTACCCCCGAGGCAGCACAGCAGCCCCAGCAGCCCATTCAAAGGCATTTCGCCAGAGCAGCCACTTGGCGCTCGTCGCCTGCGCCTTCGAGCCGTCTGAACGCAGTACGCCGCACGCCGCACGCAGTGCGCTCCATCGGCCGGTGGGCCAACAGTGCGCGTCCATGCTGTCCCGGAGCGCCCAAATTTCACTGGACAAAAATATCTCGTTTAATTCAAGTCGCACTGTGCACGCCGCTGAAATCTCCAATTGAATTCAGAAGCCAAAGCAAGAAAGCTCCACGACAACCCACGTGCGCCGACCCGCCGACCCAGCTCCGGGGAATCAGTGCAGCGCACATAGAAGCCAGCAACGACCGACCAGGGGCCGTAACGTGAGTAACGTGTCGCCGTGCAGGCAGGCAGCCCGCCAGACGTGCCCGCCCGGGGGCAGCCCGGGGGCAGCCCGGGGGCGGCCCGGGGGCGGCCTACCCGCCGGGCGGCGACGCTGGCGAGGCAAGCGAACGCGACTGCGACGTCTTTTTCAAGGAGGTTTCCTGACGACGTCGCTGTGAGCAGTGTGTCGCTGCAACAAGCACGCTCATCCTATGCTCCTCTATGCGACGCACGGACGGGACGCATTCACCTCGGGCGGTGCGGGGTGCGGCGGGGTGCGGCGGGGTGCGGCGGGGTGCGACGCAGAGGGCCCCATATGGAGCCAGTGAGGCAGCGCGGACGGGCCGCGGCGTGAATGTCAAACACGGCCACCATGCGCCACTATCGACGCGCTTTGCGCGCTACGCTTTGCGTTTCGCTTTGCATGGCTCGGCATGGCTCGGCACGGCCGGTCCGGTCCTTTGGCCGCCGGCCGCGTGATTCAGAGCCCGGGGCCCAGCCCGCCAGCCCGCCAGCCCGCCTCGCCGCCGTCGCCCATTTATCCACAAAGTTTCGAGTCTTTCGAGGACCGTCGCGGCCACGCCCCGCCGCGCTGTTGCCGCCAAGCCGGCACGGCCAAGCCTGCGAAGACGAAAGGCCGCCGGGAAGGCTGGCTTGACTCGACGCGACCTCAGCAAGCCCCACCAGCCTCAGCTGCACCGCGCCGCGCCGTCGGCCGCACCCTCCCCCAACCCCCAGGGCCGCAGGGGCCGCAGGGGCCGCAGGGGCCGCAAGGGCCGCAGGGGCCGAAGGCACAAAGATTCCAGCTCGTACCATACGCATAATGGCGCCAGTGCCAATGGACTCGTCGATGGGAAGGGCGATGCACCCAATGGATCCACCGTGCGGTTGGTCCGAGTCCTGCTTGGTATATGGGTCTCTGAGCGCGTCTGGAGTTCTGCCCACCAAAACAGGGTCCTCTGGCCCGTCGTGCACCGCAGGAGGTACCCGGTGGTGGCCGTCGCCCCCCCCCCCCTTTCCCCTCCCCGCGAGCCACGGCCGCGCGCGGATCCTCCCCGAGGGATCTCGTGGAGCAGGACTTACTGCAGTTGCCGGGGCTTGGTGGCACCGTGGGTGGCACCGAGGGTGGCGGTGGCACTTGAGCACAGCCCCACTGCAACGAGTCCGACAAAGGCAGCCCCAGTTGGGGCCTAGCGACA